TGGGCCTGAGATAGCAACATGAGGAAAACAGATTGGACATGACTGTACTGCAAGACCTACTACCTGCAGCCTGACATGACAAGAAGGGTGTGTTTTCTACAGGCAAATATGGGGTGTTCAGCTCTCGTGGCTTTAGGGTTGGTAGCAAGTCGCCAAACGAAAGCTGCAAGTTGCACATGTGTGTAACACATCATCTCGCAACAATGTCCTACCCCTTGCACTTTGCATCTGTCTTGTCCATTTCAACGAGTGCTTTTCAAGCTCTGCCTGTCCTGGCAGTCCTCGTCCCTCAGCCACTGAGCGAGGACAGCTTGCTTGCAGCAAATACCTTGTCCGAAGAGCACTGGATGCAGCTTTGCTAGGACGACATCTCTGAGTACATGTCGCAGCATGCAGCAGAGCTGCTGAATCACAAAGCGGTGCAGGTGGCCGTCAACTGTGTGCTTGCGATACTTTCAAGCAAGAAACCGACAGGCTGTGTCATTTGCTTCTGCCGGGCAGCTGGATGTTTCTATGCTGGTGGGCAGGCGTGTCACGTGACTTGTTCCTTTACAGCCCCAAGCAGAAATTGGGAGGTGTGCCGGCCTCTGCCACCTGGCGGGAATCCGGCAAGCAGTACCTCAGAGCCAGGCCTTGGGCCTTGAGTTTGGCCTTTCAACTTCAATCACCTTGCACAACAGAGGACCTGAAGTTTATTCTCGCTGGAACTTGCTTGCCTTCGACTGATGTGCCTGTGGAGGACCAGTTTTGTTGATTTCCTTGGTATTCTTTTGACAGCATTTTTTTCGCCTGCTCGAACTGTGGATGTACCTGACAGGGTCAACCGCCACCAAATGCAAAGATCATTTGCATGTGCGTTGCCATGGTTAGGCTGGACTTGCGCATTTCCAGCAATGGTGGCAAACAGACGTCAAACGTCAGCTCGAAGAAGTTGGCAGGGAGTCCAATCTGGAACTGAAAGTCACCGTCAAGGCATATCGGCAGGAGCGCGTTGCAGGCTCCAAGAGCTGCCAGAAAAAGTGTACTGGATGCCACAGGAGGTCGCCGACGAGATTGGCTTGCATATTGCCGGGGTTCTTGGAGAAGCAGCTAAGCATGGTTGGAGATGTGGAGCAGTTTGTGCAGCACCAGGCCAATACCTTTCGAGAGCTGGTGGAGGGACGCTTGAGAGAGACGCTTGTCTCGGCTTGTCTTTGCTGGTTGAGAGTGGAAGATTCTCTTTGGATCTCTGCATCTCAGGATGTAGGGCGAGTTTCGCCGCCCCAGACGGTCTGCAACGGCTTCTGAGGGGCACCTGTCAGCCAAGAAGCTCAGTGCAAAAAGAAGATCTTGCTCATAGAGATCCTTGGGCTTTGCAGCCTCTGTTAAGATTGTTGTTTCTGAACTCATGTGGAGCCGCAACAGCTTTTGTGGACTGGCCGCCTTTGCTCGCTCAGTTTCACACAGTGTCTTTCAATGGTTATTGCAGAAGCAAAGAAGTTATGAGTACTCGGACATGCCCAGAACCAAGGTGTCCTCATGTCCCTCAAACTTCCAGGAACCGAGATGCCATGCAGACATGCGCAAGTCCTGCGAACGCTCTTGGCTGCGCTTGTCGCTGCTGCGTTGGTCCCCGCTTCTGCCGGTGTGACCTGAACGCAGAACGTAGGACAGTCTGCACATGCAGATGGAACGGAATAAAGCAGAATTTCTTTGATTTCAGGCACTTCCCAAAGACTCCAAAGCTTACAGGAGCGCACGACAGCGCCTTGCACGGTTCAGCTTTCGGTGGAAGATCCGTTCGGCCCGCATGGCCCGCAAGGATGCTTGCCTGTGATGCTTGCCGCATCGTGATCAACAGGCGCGCCTGCAAGCCAGAAGGCCTTTTGTGCTTTTGGCCCTCTCTCTCCCTCTTCCTCTCTGTAGGCTGTCCAAAGACGTGAAATATCTCACAGAGACGCGAAAAATCTGGCCCGATGCAGCGACGGCCTGATGCAGAAGTAGAGTCGGCTTGTTTTTGAAGTTTGTGTCTTCGCACAAGGTACTTGACCAAAGACTGTCAATTTCTTGCGAGGTCTGGGGCTCTGATGCCACGGCACGGTGTTGTAATGATGTTTTGGCTCTGCCTCAAGGATCCAAGTCACCCAAGTGGAAGTGGCGCGGACAGACATCCCAGCCAACGTTGAGAGCCACGTGCTTTTGTGCCACCATGAACTGGCGTGTCGCGAGGAAGCCTGCGGTCTTTTCATGGAAGACTTCGCCCAGCTCATCAGAACGGAGGTGCGAGGGCATGCGATGAAGATGTGAAGCAGGCTTGGTGTTGCAGGTGAAGCTACGCTGGGACGAGACCTCCGAGGAGTCTGGGAGCTCAACGAAAGAAGCTTGGGCTGCACGTTTTTCATAGCATTTCTGAATGCAACCTTCCAGGTTTGAGGAAGATATCGTTGCCTCCGAATTCTGCACTGAGAAGGTCCAGCCCCAGATTTCACAGCACGTTGTAGCCGTGCTCAAGCTGAGAGGCAAAGATTTGCGATGCTGACTCAAAAGGCTTGACAACATGAGTTGGGGTTTGTGTGGGATTTGACATGTCCCTGCTCAAAGCTGGTTCGACCCTGATGCAGGTATCAGCCACATGATTGATGAGGCTAGCAGGAAGGAAAAGCTCTTGAAGGAGGACGGTTTGTTGGGATAAGCGAGGTCCAGGCAGCTGCTTATGGGTAAGCAGGAAATCCTTGGCGTCAGGAGCGCGAGGAGAAAGAGCGTCTCGCTACAAAAACCTAGTGATCTGGCAACATGCTGAAAAGGTCGCAGTGCGTCTCTGCAGAATGTCCCAACAGCTCCGAGACTGAAGCAAGTTTCTGAGTTGTCAGGTGAAGCACAGCTCCCAGTCATTGATTCATACATAAAAACCTAGCACTAGCCTCCTTGCAATGATCTGGAACTACGCCCCCTCCCAGAGGGCGATTGTAGAATGCCAGAACTGTGGCTTCAAGTTCCTTGCCAAATAGTGAGAGCAGCTTGTTGGGGATAGGATGCGTGCCAGGTGCTTTATTTTTTTCTGAGGCTGGAGAGAGAAAACTTCTGAATGTTATTCTAGTGCAAAGGGGGGGCTCATGACCGTCTGGGTGAAAAAGGGTCCGTCTTTGTGGTCTCGAATTTTGCAATGATTTCTGGAGGCTGCTTCGTGGGTTTCATCCACGTGACGCCCAAGACTCCTCAGAGATCACCAGAGAGTGCACCGTGACGGCCAAAACTCCTCAAACATCATGGGAGAGTGCACTGTGATGCCCAAAACTCCTCAAACATCGTGAGAGAGCGCACCACCGACAACCCATGACAAACCCATTGCGTTGATTACATGCGATCGTCCGTTTGTTTTCGCGTCCATTCGACCGTTTACGGCTTCGGGCACCCGCACGGCTGGTGCAACTGGTGCAAACTCTGCAGCACGGCTCTTGTGGGTGAGGCAGGTTTTTCGTGAGGAAGGTGTTTATATATTCGCGGCCTTACTCGTGCATGAGCCCCGGCCCCTTCGTCGTGTGGGGTGTTCCTCGAGCTTTGGGGGGTGCCCTTTGCTTTGCTCTGTAAGGAGACGTCCTTTTTTGGTTAGCTCATCCGCACATTCGTTGCTCCCCTGGCTGGCGTGCAATTTCATCCATGCAAGAGTGTCCGCAAAGTTGGAGGCGTGCAGCAAGCAACGGATGCGGTTCATTGGGATGTGGGCGGCGCCTCAGCCCTGTTCCCTGGAGGGCTTCCACAATAGCTGATAGTTCACCAGTGTTGTTAGAGCCAATTTTGGTTCGCGTCTGGCAAGAGGCACGGCAGTAGTCAGAAGTAGATCAATTGTGTTTTCGTATATAGTCTATGGAGTGCTGAGGGAAACCACTAGCTGCATCATACTGCAAGAAACCTGTAGGCTTGTGGGGCCCTAATGTTAGAGAGCCGTACCATAAACTGTATAGTGCTGCAGAACCCTCTGCTCAAGATTTGCGCCCCGATCCGCCAGGATTGGGTTGTGGGATGTCTCGGTTTTTCTGTAGTAGGTGAAGAAATTCATCGAGTAGATGCTATGCAAGTATCCCTTGACCGAGTGTGCTGTGAGCAACCCTCTTACGTAGTCTTTTCGGCTTTGACTGTATGTGGGCCGCCCTGCCCGAAGTAGCCAGGGAGATCAGGTTCTGGTCACACCAGCCATCTTGTCCATCCTTTGCTTTTCTGACCTGGCTGGGGCTACTGCTCTTCTGCTGTGGATTGGGAATCGGATTGTGCACTGGCTGTGTGCTACTTAGTCGGCAGGGCCGGCGGGCCATTTCGCTTTGTGCTCACTGGCTGGCTATTTTTCTGGAGGCACCTATTGCAACCACAACCCTTGCTCGGGTGGACCCACTGCGACGGCTGCGGGAGTACAGGTCACAGTGAATGCCCGGCGCTGGCTCTAGTGACCAGGAGGTTGAGGAGCTCGAGCTCGCCTTTGGAGATTTATCACTAACTGTCCGCAGGCGCCGCGCAGCAGCCCCTGCTTCTCCCAGGTCGACTGCTTCTACATCTTCTTTCACTGTGGTGCCGCCGCAGCCTGAGCCTGATTCTACTAGGCCAGCCGGAGTACCCCTTTGAGTCCCAACCTCTCGGGGATTGGGAGAGTGCCTTGCTGCAAGCTCTTGTTGGGCCGGCCGCTTTGGAGCACGCTGATCTGGGGCCTCACAGTGTTTTCATTCGGAGGTTGCGCGCAGCTGGGGAACCTTGGACAGCCCGAGCTCGGATAGCTCGTGCTGTGCGGGCAGGCGTTGCTGCTGCAGCCGTGCTTCGGGGAGAGACCGAGTACGTTTGCCGCTCTCCGGCGCTGCCGTTGCAGAACAGGATCTATATCGTGCTTCGCTCAGGCTGCGCCCCGGAAAAGCTACTCCAAGTATTTCAGCAAGCTGAGCGACCCCGCCACGGGCAAGTTCCGCGCAAAGACTCTCAGCCACGGCTTTGCATCTAAGGCTGAGGCAGAGTCGAATTGAGCCTGGAGGGCGTTCTCGCCCTCCTTTCCCAGGATGCTCCTGGGAGACCCCTGCCATTGCTGTACATGCTGGGCCCCGACGACCCTCCTGCTTGGCGAGCGGCTGTCTTTCTGCTGAAGGCTCGGGCCGGCGGCTTTATGATTGCTGCTCCACACTTGGAAGATATCATCAGCTTCTTCGCCGCTATTTCGGAAGAAGCCGAAAACCAGGTCGATGGTCCACTGCCGGTTGTTTGGAAGGTTGTCTCAGTGGCTTGCGAGACAAGCCGTCGGCGGCGGGTTGGCGAGGTGCCCATGGTGCTGGCAGACCATCTTGTCTACTTCAGGCGAGGCACGGCGTCGCGACCACCTGCTGGAGCCGCCCTGCTGGCTTTGACTCACGAGGACACAGCTGTCCGCCCCATGCCAGGGCCGGCCAGGGAGGCTGCCGACGAATGGGTGACGGAGCAATTGAGCGACGCCGCCTTTTTAGAATACGCTACAGCCGACAAACTTCAAGAAGACTTCCCGAGGATGCCGAGCCTCCCGAAGAGGAAGACACTGTGGAGTCTCTCCGTGCACGCGTCCGGCAGATGGAGTCCGCGCAAGGTGCGATGAGGGCACCTCAGCCCCCCATCACGCGGCCCGCGGCAGACCAGACCTTTGCTGGAAGCAGTGCCGGAGGCTGGAGCGACTTTGTCGGCGGAGGACTGGCAGAAGCTGCAAGCCGTGGCAGGCTCACCGCCGACACGTCTTGCGGGGCACGAGCGAGCTCCTCGGGCAACAGCAGCGGACAACGCCCTGGCCGAAGAGGAGCTGGAAGTCAGCGAGATGGCGCCTGCCACTTCGACAGATGGGGCGCTGCTTCGCGACTCAGGCTCAGCTGTTGGAGAAGCTTTCTGCAAAGCCCGCCCCTCAGGATCCCATCACGGCAGCTTTGTCTTCTGGAAGCGGCGGGGACAACGTGCCAGGCAGTTCTTACGGGACCAAAGGCGTTGCGGCAAGGGATTTTCTGAAGGTCTTCGATCATCCTGCGGAGTTTGCCGAAGGGGTGGCGCGGAGAGCTCAGCAAGAGCTTGGGCTCAGCACCCAAGATCCTGGACTGATGCGCATGTACGCCGAACGCAAGATACCAATGAAGGAGCTGAAGACGGTGCAAATCTTCACCCATTTTCTGGCTCACCAGTGGGGGGACTGCAGGCGTCAAGGCGATCAGCTGGGCGAAGCTTGGGCTGCTCGGGGTCTGGTGATGGCAGAGCAACTGGCCATAGATCAAGGGAGAACTCAGTTGGGCTTCCTTTTGAGCGGGCTCCCCGACATCGATGTGTCGCACTTGCCTGCCCGGAGAACCGACATTCGACCTTACGGTCGGTTGAGCGCTGCAAACTGGATGGCTGCTCAAGTGGCATTCCTCAAGGACGTGGACTACTTGGAGAGCCGGATGAAGCAGAGCCGCCCTTCAGGTCACCAGGACGCGCCGCCCGACAAAAGCAACGACCCGGAGGACAAGCAACCCAACAAGCCCAGAAGGCCACCCAGACGGGCCAAGGCCATAGCAGACAAGCCGGGAGACAAGTCGGAGAAGTGAATGCCGAGGTCGCTTCCCCTGACTATGTAAAGTATGACTGCGCCAGTGCTGAGCACGGTGCTTCTTTTGCACCCGGGTTCGAATCGAGCCGAGGTACTGCGTGCTTAAATTCATTTTCGAGTGCTGCCGGGACTTCTGCTTCCCATGCACCTGAGGCCACCAACCTTCCGCGCCGGGATGTGCCTTTTGGGTTTACCCCCGCGCTGCCTGAGTTGGATCATGACCCCATTCACCTTCCCAATTCCCCTAAGCCTTTCAGGGAGTGGATATATATAGTTTTTTTTACGGGTTTCGGGGTCCGCCAGGGTAGGGTTGAATGCCTTCCTTGCCGATTCCTTTAAACCGGTTTGCAACATTGCCTGCACTGCACCGCTTGGATCCAATTCAGGCACACTGTGGCCCTGTCCCCCACCTCGGAGATGGACAGAGCAAATGAGACATCTTTCCCCACGCTGCCGGCGCCGGATGCGGGAACTTAAGCTCATCCATGATATGCTTAGGGTTGCCATAGGTACCCTCAACTGGATAGCCCTGGGTTCTCCAAAGCATTGCCCCGCGGAGGCTCGTGCTGGGATGCCTGTGTCCGAAGACCGGCTTGACATGCAGTGTGTGCTGGAG